TAATTTTTTTAAATAAAATATAATTAATCTAGATTTTTTATTATTTCTTGGTTATATTATATACATACTAATAATATAATCTAATATATTAATTTTAATAGTAGTTTTCTTTTCTGGGTCATACTGCACTAGTACTAGTAATATAATAAATTAATATTTAATATTTTTAAATATATATTACTGTAGTTCTTTTTATTTATATTCTTATATTCTTTTTATAAGCTTAAATAATAGTATTATATAAATAATATATCTGTCTATAAATTATTAATAATAATTAATTAATCTGATAAATTACTGAAGTTTTTTCAGATTTTTAAATTAAGACTAGTCCTGTATAACTTATATTTTAATTTATTTAATATAAACTTTCTCTATAAATATCCAGTATCTCAGGAATTCTGTTTTTTATATATAGAATTTATATTTTTTTAACTTATATTATAATTAGTATAATTATAATTTATATAATATAAGTTTTATATATCTGATATATTTATTCTTGGTTTTTAAAAAGACTAAGATATTATTTAAATAAATAATTATAAATCTGTTAAGATATTTTTTTAATATCTTATTAATAAATTATTAAAATATTACAGATATATTAGTTAACCTGAATAATATAATTAAATATTTAAAATATTTATATTTTATTCTAAATATAGTTTTCTATTCTTTTCTTTCTATAATATATATTGTTAGGAGTCGCCCCTTGGTTCCAAGAGTATATCACCTGTTAGACAAGAAAGAATAGCTGCTGTTCAGAACAGGATCTCAGAATTTCTAAGATTTTATATATTATATTTAATCAGTAAGTAGTAATAAGACTAGTTAATTAAGTTTTTTAATAAAAATTTATTTTATAATATTATTTCTCTCTTCTAGTAAGATAATGATATGGAGACTGGTATATTTATAAATTAAAATATTTTAGATTTAAACTTCTAGCTAATCTGCTTTATTATAGTCTTATATTTTATTTTAATCTTTAGTTTTTTTATTTATATTTTTATCTTTAGTATTTAATTCCTGAGTTTTATATTATTTTTATTTTTTTTATTTCTAGATCTTTTTTTCCTGTATTCCAATCTCAGTTATTTATCTAATATAATTTTTACTATTATTTTAAATAAGAACTTTTTCTTTAATATAAATTTATTTAATCAGTTTATTGGTCAGATAATTAATTTAAATTTTTATAAAAAAAGATTTTTTTTTTCTCTCTTTTTTCTTTTTTTTTTATTTATAAATAAAAGTAGTCTATATTCCCAGCTAGATATTAAACTAGTCTAGATTAAAAATAAATATATATAAAAATATAAACTTACCATCTCTTATATTTAATAAAGATAAAAAGATTTACTCTATTTATTTTTAATTTTATATTATTATTTTTCTTATTTTAATCTTATCTTATTTTCTATTTTAATTATATTACTTATAGATCTGCTTTACTTAGCTCTAATAAATAAAAAATATATTCTTAATATTTTACTCAGAACTGTAATCTCACTTCATTTTAAGTTTAATAATAAAAAATAAATTTTTATTATTTTTTTTTATTTTTTTTATTTTTTTTAGATTATATTTATTCTCCCCTGTATTCTTCTTTTATATAAAATATATAAAAATAATTTTTTTTTTTTTTTTTTTTTTTTTTTTTTTTTTTTTTTTTTTTTTTTTTTTTTCTTTAATTTAATTTTATTAACTTCTGTTTTTACTCTAGTCCTGCTTTATTTATTTTTATTTATTTTTTAATCCTGTCTTATCTGCTCCTGCCTGTATTTTAATCTTATTTATTATATTAATTATTAAATTAAAAACTTTTTTATTAGTATTTATTATATTTTTTAATTTACTAACCTGTCCAGAAACCCTTTATAAAATAAAATAAATTTATTTATATTTTAGAATCTTACTAAGCTCTAGAATAATTTATAATTTAAATATAATATTTAATAAGCCTGTATAGCCTCCTGTTCTTTATTATTATAATTTAAAAAATTATTTTATTATCTTTTTAAAATAATTAAGATTATATTAAAGGATAATAATAAATAGATATACTTATAATTCTTATAATATCTATTACTTATATTATTTATTCTAGTTATAACTTGATTAATCCTACTTCTGTTTTAATATTTAATAATTATATTAATAATTTATAAATTATTTCTAATAATAAATATTCTTAGTCTCAGATTTACTGAATTATACTAATTTCTGATTATATAGATAATTAAAACTATTATTATTATTTTTTAAAATATTAGTAATTAGTTCTTCAGAATATTAATAATTAATTTACTAAAATATTAATAGCTGGCTAGATAGTTTTTTTTTTTTTTTTTTTTTTTTATTATTTAGTTTAATAAGATTTTCTCTGGCCCTGGTAGGAGTATGTTAGATTTAATTATAATTTTTTTTAAAAATTTTTTTATATATAAATAATAATAATATCTTAAAAAATCTTAATTAATTTTTATATACTTTATATATAGTCTGTTTATTTAATTTAATAATAAAATCTTTAATCTTATCTTCTTAGTTACTAGATTTTTTTTAAAATAGTTTCTACTGGATATTTTTTTTTATTAATATAAATAGCTAGGGGCTGCCAATTATTTTTTTATTAAAATAATAATTAATTTATAATTACTAGATATAATAAATTTATATAAAATATATTATAAATTCCAGCAGGTATATCTAAACAGATAAAATAAGTATTTAATATCTTAATAATTTAATATTTAATATTTTTCCAGTCCAGCTTCTTACTTGGTTGGTTAATATTAATATTCTTTAAATTTAATTAAATTATATTTTTGATTTAGTATATCAGGACAGGTAATTATGTTCAGTTTATTTATTATTTTACTTTTTATTAAATATGTTGGAAATTTGGCCCAGGCACTAGTCCGAATCAGGAAGGCGGTCTAGCGAAGTAGGCTAATCAGATTAGTAGAAGGGTCCTGTAAAAGGCTTTTATAGAAGACTCCTAGGCACTAGGCCAAAAAGGGTAATATCAGGTGATACTAGTCCCAATTAGGAAACTAGATCAAAGTAATCATAATAATAATAATAATATAAGATTAATATAATTGATAAACTTGCCAAAGGGAAGCAAATATTCATCTATTTCTTAAATAAGAAATAAGTGGGTCCTTTAGATAGAAAGTAAATGAATTTAACTTGCTTACTTGCTTGCTAGAGAATAAAAGGCCTTATTTATCATTTTCAGTGAATAATTCTAGATCAGAGTCATAAATCATCAATTTGCTCATTAAACAAAGAAAGTAGGGTAAGTAAGTAGGATAAGAAATAGTGAATAAAGAATCA